ACTGAAGGAGTCTCAAGCCTTCAAGGTGGAGATTGTTGAAGTGAAGGCTTGAAACGGCACTACATTGGAGAGTTAGTAGAGCACTGTCGTTTTGGGGTTTAGCTGAGTTGGGTGTAATTGCCCTTAGTCTAAGGATTCCAGGGTTTGAGTCTCTCTAGGGTTCAAGTTACGGGTAGTTTCAGGTTGAAGAGAAAGATTCTTGTGTGAGTTTTTGTAAGAGTTGTAATCATTGATACCTTCTTAATATTAGTGCAATGAGCTCTCCCATTTCCGAAGCTCAGCGTAGACGTAGCTAGCTCAAACCTTGAGCAAATGAACCACGGTAAATCTTGGTGTTCTTGTGTGTGATTTGTTGATTTGTGTGTGTTTGTGAGTTGTTTGATTCTGGATTGTAGTATAACAAATGGCAACGACTTCCTGCATGAAGACAATGCAATATCTCCATCAACGTCAATCATTGATGAAGACGAATCACAATCACTATAACAATCCTCCAACACCACGGGCGGCATTTGTGGATATCTCCTTGAACTTGCCGCTGCTGTTAGATTTGTCGATCTTGATTGTTGTCGTGTGAGGGCTTTACGGCAGCAAAATTCAATTGCCACGAGGCCCTCATGCAAAGACTCAAACCCACCGCGAGGGCTAAGCAACCATGGAGAGAAGGAGAGAAGAAAAAAGAAAGGAAGAATAAGAAGAATAAGAAGAGGATAAAGAAATGAGTTGACACTTGAAGGGAAAAAAATGAAGTTTTAGAAGAGAGAGAGAAGAAGTGAAAGAAAGGAAGAAGAGAGTGGAAAACAAAAAAGAATAATGTGAGGGCCAAAAAAAAAAAAAATTAACTTTAACATTTTTTATTAAAAATTGAAAGATGAAATTAACTTTTAAGTTGTTGTCATAATTCTGCCCTCACTCATAACTGTTTCTTTATCATCTTGTCCTTTCTTACAACGTTAATTACTAATGGATTTGTGCTTTAGTGATAACTTGTATTTTAAAAGTGTAAGGGTGAGAAAGTGTCATTAAGCTATATTTTGGGCAGGAAAATGTAGTTAACTCTTTTTTTTTAACAAGGAACTGAAAATATATGAGATTCCTTTGTCTATTTACATAAATAGAATGATATGTTAAATCTGTGATAATAAATAAAGTGTGTGAAGATGTTAAAATACCATTAATATAAATCCCTTTATATATTTTTCTGTTAACCAAAAAACTTTAAAATTCAGTTTTTAATTTAACACTAATTTTAATAAACTAAATAATCTGTTATTTTTATTTATTTAACTCTTAAATAACAAAGCATAAAGTCAACAAAAAGATAAAATGAAATAAAAAAAATTATTTCTGATCCAGCTCTAGATAAGAAATATACAGAAAATAGTCCAAAAACAAGGTACTGTCTTTTCATTTTCCCACAATTTCTTAGCTACCAAACAAAGCACATGCTGGTACATATATAAGAAGAAACCAACAAGTTCCACTTACCGATCTTGAAGATGAAGCACTAACTTTGAGTTTGAGTGAAACACTTAAACAACTTCTCTTCTTTTTTCTTCTGCTAAATTGGTTAATATAATGAATTTTTCGTAGAACTTGCGACAAACCCAGATGGAAACTTCAGCTACTGAGTACTATGAAAATACTGAGTAGATTACTATGAAAATTAGATCTGGAAAAATATTTAGTTAACAGAGGAGAAGAATACAAAGATTGGTTCTTGCAAAACTAATAAAACGATGAATTTAAGTTTGAATGTTAAAGAATACAAAGATTTTGTATCACAATATATAATTTAATTATAAGTTCAACCATATATAGACATATCAGCAGCACTAGCTTCAATTTAATTTGTTACCTGGATGTGTTAAATAATGAAAGACTTGTGCGATTCATCATTATCCTTACACCAATTCTTCTTGTTTCTTCTCTTGTTTATATACTTCTTAACGGGAAACTAACCAAGAATAGGGACATATATAACAGGAAACTAACCAATCTTCTTGAAAGGATGGGATTTGGAGAAGCCAAATTGTATATATATAAGCTTGGAACTTAATTAATTAGAAAAGAAAAACAACTTTTGCTTTTTGCTTTATTCTTCACGGTTTTTAAGCAAAGTATTTATGCTAACTTTAACTGTTCAATTAAAAAACTATTATGATTTCTTTTGTGCTTGCCTAACCTTGCCTGATGCTCTCCATAAGACTATGTTCTTGTGGAATGGCAGAATCTATGTTTTACAGGCTGTTTCTATTGGGCTCGTGGGCTTGGGCTGGTTTATGTAGGTCTAACCTAGGGAGGTCTGGCCGAGCCGGGGGTTTCCCTATCCCTTTTAAGCTCTTACGAATCAAATCAATTTACAAGGGTTTTTTTATAGTACAACGTTGCATGAATACATCAATGCATAATTTACTGTCAATGCTTTCCGGTTGACTCATTCTATATTAGCTATGCTATGCAACAAGAAATAGCTTCAGTTTAATTTGCTATATGGATAAGTCAAATAATTAAAGACTTGTGAGCTTGATCAAAATATCCTTCCATCCATTCTTTTCTTCTTTGCTTAACTTTGTAGATGCCTTTAAAAAGAAATTCTCCCTTATAATATAAACATGTAATTTTTCATTTCTTATTAGATATAAGATTAATCATTATAATAATTCATAGATAAAATTTTGATAATATAAATTTGGTATGTTTATGGTTTATAATTTAATGTTCGCAAAAACACTTAAAATATCTTACACTGTTTTTTTTTTTCTTTTTTTTCTGAATTTTAAACTATTTATACAATTAATTAATTAATCAATGGGATACACACCTAACATATGCCATGGAATGTCTCCCGAGATTCTGGTTAAACTTTCCTTGTAGCTATGAACTCTATTTCCAGATGAAGCTGCTTCTCTTACAAACTGTCCAAGATCTCTCGCTTCATGGCCGTTAAGATCAAACAAGACAGTCTGCATAAATCATTAATTATTTTTCCATAAATCACAAGGGCTCAACACTCCTAAAATAGATCCATTATTAATTGTTTGATCTAGTAACTTTCTTTTCTCATCCAGATTCCAAAACAGCTATCATCCCAATCTAAAACTACCATACTAATAAGAGCCTCATTATATAATCTCATGTGACATTCTTTATTTGCTACTTCCTACTTTGTTCCCATCTATCTACTTACCCCTAACAAAAAATTTGAAGTTTAGCCATAACATATAGAATATACTACAGTTATGAGTTTCCACTTCAGAAATTTATAATTAATATGTAAAACAAATATAATGAACACACGTAAGTTTCATTGGCAACAATCAACAAACAAATATATAATAGACAATATATTACATACCTATCCTAATGCCGATAAGAAATATTATTGCACCACTTTTACACCATGATCATCTATTCATGAGTGTATTCTTGGTAGACACTTCATCTGTTCATGACAATAGATAGAAGAAATACAATAGTCAGCTGAATTTAAGTAATGACCAAAAGAGTATATGATTCATATTCTATTTAAGAAATAGAAATTATATATAAAACTATTCAATCAGTTATCATATCCCTCTTATATTTGAATAGCATAAGGGACACTTTAAATATACTTAATGATTAACAATACATAGTTAGACTCCTTTCTCTGTCAATATTGGACATGACAATGATTGTTAAGCATTCCAAGCTTGAATGTTGAATCCCAAATTCCTTTCACTAGCGATGTTGAATGTGACAATGATTATCAAGAATTCCAGGCTTGAATGCTATGGATGCTTGCTTTATGTTTGTGTGTCTGTGAGTGAGTGAGTGAGTGAGTGAGTGAATGAAGACAGAGATGTACAAAGTTGTCAAAGATTGCAAGCTTGAAAACCTTGGTGGAATAGTTGACACTTCAAAGCTATTATTGCTCATGTCCCTGTGAATCAGATATTTTTAAGAGGATGCAAATGGACTTTAGTAGAAATAGAATACATTTATCCAAATTACATGAATAAGAGAAGCAAAATGCTGAATTGATGGCAATAATGAATGGCCTTTCAGCACCACATTATGTATAATGAACTTCTGTTAACTTACACATAGCTAAGGTTGCTCAAGCCAGTAAGGTTAGGCAAAGGGCCAATCAATTGATTGTAGGAAAATATCTGAAAGAAAGTTGCAAATATTCTTAAGAAGAAACCAATAATGACTTACAGTGTATTACATTGATATCTCATAAGTAAGACTAGAAGTTTAAGTTGTGAACTTTTCTGCATAATCCACTTGCATTGTAATGATATTTGGGAAGCTAGTCCCGTTGAAATTCAAATGTTTATGGCCACAGAAATTGAAACTTATGAGCGAATGTTTGGAACACTCACATGATCTGCAAGTTTTGCGGTTGTCTAGTGAAGTGGGGATGCTACCAGTGAAGTTGTTGTCAAAAAGCCTGCTTAAAACAATAGTAATTCTCATCTCATCTATCAATGACAGTTTTTTCTGAGTGCATTCTCTACTTTATTCTGCACTCATTGTCGATTATTAAAGCTTATGTCCGTTGTGGTTTGTGTCTCCATCATGTTCATTCCTATTTCTCTTTATCATGACAATCCTACCTGTTTCTTAGACTTCTATCAAAACTGAAAAGGGGGGCATATGTTTTAGGGATATAGTAACACATAAAAGCCAATGCTTCTAACATATTGACATTTTGAGGGGTCCTACTGGATGTAAGTTGGTTTGAAGTACAGACGTAAACACAAAAGTTGATTGTAGGATACACTTACACCTACTGCATCTACTTATCAAGTAGCCACTAGCCAGTCCAAAAGAACTTACACATGCATCAATCTCATTTCTGAGCTGAAAAGTGAAAGCAAGAGTAGTCCTGTGAGCTGATTTCTTCCAAAATGACTGCAAATTTAATAGAAAAGGTGTTGATTAGTTGTTTTCAGAAAACAGTACTTGCAAATGAAGGAAAATGTGTTATACATACAAGTGCAATGCAATAACTAGTCCATCCAATCCAGGTAAGTTTCATTAAAGACTGGAATTGTTTTATTGAGCTGGTTATCAGTCAAATCCAGCAAAACAAGTTTGGTAAGATTGCCAATGGAAGCTGGTATAGGTCCACTGAAGCTATTCGAATTAAGATTTCTGCAGAGAATGTCATTGAAGAGTTTCACAAACAGGACCAGCAATGATCTAAATGTTAGAAATCCTTGCAAGGCAAACCTTCCAATAATAAGAGACCACAAGAACCTGATAAAAAAACAGAAAAGAATCCTGAAGTTGAAATCCTTACAAATTGACCAGTTGTGTTAGAGATCCTAATGTGTCTGGAATTAGGCCATGGAAGCTGCAGTCGGTTAGCAATCTGGTAGGCAAGGAAGATCAATAGGTAAATCATATGTTGTACATGAAAGTTAGTGATGCTTTTTCAAAATTAATCTTACAGTACAGGTTCACAAGCTTTGTCAAATTCCCAATTGACAGCGGAAGAGTTCCTGACAAACCTTTGTTTTGAGATAGATCTCTGTGGTGCAGATGTATTAATCAAAACAATATCATTTGTTATTACATTTTTTCTTTGCAAATGTATGTTCCTATCTATACTGATGAAGATTGAACACATCTAGCAATTTTAAGCTGTCAAAATATACTGCCAGATCTATTGATTAAAACTTATATGTCAATATAACTTTGTTATTATTTCCTTGTATCGGCCAAGAGACAAAAGGATGGAGAGAAAACCTACAAAGTCATTAATTCAGGTAGATTCTGAATATCTGCAGGCAGCTTCCCTCTCAAGCCTATGCCTGATAAAGACTATGAGCTTCATTGAATTTTTTATTCTTGCAATACGCATTGATTGAAGTATTGTAGCAAACAACATCAAGTTTATACCCCTTTTCAGTTATAGAAGCAAACAACTCTCTTGCATCCTCAATTCTACCTGCAAAGCAATACCCTTGATTAAAATGTTGTAAGTATAAATGTCAGGATCCGCACCTGTTTGGATCATCAGTTCCAACCACCTATTTGCTTCGTCCAATTTCCCTTTCTTGCAAAGCTCATCCATGACCACACTAAACATCACCACACAAGGCCGCACACCTTGATCCATCATCGCAAAGAATAAATTTTTACCCTTCTCCCAATCACCCAGACAATATAAACCATGAATAGAGTATTATAAGTGATTGCATTTGGACTAATTCCCAAACTCTTCATTTCCAAAAACAATAGTCTGGCCTTCTCAAAAATCCATCCTTACAAAGACCATCAATAAAACTATTATAAGTAACAATATTTGTCCTACAAATAACACCAGATTCTTCATTTCCCTAGCCATTTCTTCATGCAACTTAATGGCAACACTGTTTTACACATCCAAAAGCAACCATTTTCTTAAACAAATCTGTTAGACTCCACAATCTTATTTTTGAGAAATTGGGCTTAAAACCTTTCTTCAAAATCTCCCCAAAAAGGGCAAAACCATGAGAAACACTTTTAATATTACAAAGCAATTCATCAAAAATGTTCAACTGGGTTGTCTCCAGATTTTATGTCTTTGAGCATTTTGATGAATTGCTTGTGTAATATTGAACAAATTTCTTCTTCGTGAAGGATACAATTGGAGAAATGAGTTGCGAATTAATCCTGTAATAAAAAAAGTAAAGAGCTTCATTTAGAGTGAAGTTACCTGATCGAGAATTTGGCAAGTGAAGTTGGTTCAGGGGGGTTTTTAAAAGAACATAAAAGCTCATTCTTGGAGTGAATAAAGATGAAACATTTTACCTTTCAAAGATTGGGTTTTGAGTGCACAAAGACTAACGAAATGAGGCCCTGAAAGCCATGAGTTGAAGAGGGTTTTTTTCGGGGCTTGTCAAGGTTTCTGTAAAGAGAAAAATGTTTTAACAAATTCCAAAAAGTTTTGGAAAAATTTCACGACCCTATCATTTCGAAAATGGTTCACTTTGTGTCACGACCTTAGAGAATCGTGCCACCCAAACAAAAAAACCAAAAAATCGAAAGAAATCGAAAGAGAGAAAACTTTATGTATCAATAATAATACAATGCTAACATTAGTTAGCATTATAATATAAGAGTTTATAAAGGGGTAATATTATATTAATAACTCTTTTTTACAAACTTTTTCTTACAATTCTAATATAATAATTCACAATTAATTAGTGAGATCCATGTTGGACTAGTTGTGATATAACCAATTACGAACTGTCACGTCAGGATTGTGAGAGAAAATTTATGAGAGAGAATTATTAATGTAATATTATTCTTTACAAATAGATATGATAGTCTAGATCCATACAAATTTAATAGATTGAATGGTCAAGATAAATCATATCAAAATAAGAATCATAATCTTATTTTACTATCTATTTGGGTGAGGAATATTCTAGAGCACTTTAGAAACTTTTTAACATATTCTTAGGGTACCCTTTGATCCAAACCTCCCATCATGGATTGAGCCTGAAGGACCTCTTAACTTGGGTTGGCCGTGACACTTGTCACCCCTTTAATTAATGGTGTGGAGGTTAACATAGGAAACTTATAATAATTATGAGTGTCTTAAAACTCAACCCGACTTGGCTAATTTAACCAGTTTAACCAAGATCCAGGAGTTTCACCGAGCCGAGTTAACAATTTCCCTATTCAACCAAAACCCTAGAATTTGAGATGATGATCGATGAACAATTGAAGGTCATGATGTTGGGAATTTTGAAGAGAAGGTGCCGGTGAGTGCAATGGTGGTGACAGAGTTTATTTCCGGTGAGTGAATCGACCGAGATTCAAGAAAATAAGCGACGACAACAGCTGGCTTTTGTCGACGATTGACGAGGCTAACGAGGATTGGGTGAGGTGGGTTTTGGTTGGAAGGAAGAAGGGGGTATTTTTGGGGTGATAGGGAAGGTTGTTGACGCCGACGTTGACGAGATTTGGCTTGAAATGTCGACACCGACGTCGATTATTATCAGTTTGTGCCTTCCATTGTAATTTGTATTTTGGGTTGTTAGTTGGTTCATTTTGAGAGGGGTTCCCATAAAAAACACATTCACTAGTAAGCTTCTCCACCATTGGTTCACTTATGTGGGGTGGGCTCTAACTAGTTCTAATTTTTTGAGAAAACAGAACCTTATTGTATCAGATGGCTTCTCAAACTTGAACCCATTAGTTGTTAATAATTAGCAGAATTGACTATGTGAGGCAAAATGTACAGCTTCTTATCATCTGTTTTAATAGTAATATCTAACTCTTTCACATCCTTCTCTACTGTCAATCTTATCCATTTGTCAATAGAACAAGGCAATCCTTCATCAACAAGACTTATAAATAGCCTAAATGTCTTCATAGAAACCTTATGCTCACAAAATCGAAGCAAGGCAAAATCAATAAATTTCATAAAATTCGCTATACGTTCACAATATTCTTCATTATTTGCCAATCTCATTTCCAAGTCTGACTGAAACAAGTCAGTTTCACTTAAATTAAAGATAGGGAATGATGCCCACAAGTGATTCCATCTCTTTGATAAGAGTACCTGTTAGACATAATTTGATGAATGATGAAAGGAGGTAGGTTTGAGATCCGATCATCATCCATATTTGTTCCCGTCCAACCTGTACTATCCATGCATTTCTATTACAAAAGGCTCCATAATTCAGTATATATTTCAAGCAATTTCCTTAACTTTTACAGAAGTTCAGTATAACAAAGAAGAAAACTAGGAAAAAACCTGCCAAGAAAATTCCTCTTGGTATTCGAAAATTCTGATACTAGGTTTCATGCTTAGCCATAAGATTTTACCAGCATGTACTATACACGTAGATGCACCAAATTATTTCGAATAATATCATCAAAAACCTAAATCTAACAACAAAATAACAAACTTCGACCAAGAGAAATTTATCATTATAAGCCCTAATGGTAAATTTAGCCCATTTGCTCATAAAGATTTCTCATAGGCCCATAAAGTCTTCTCATAACTGAATGGCCTATAAGCACTAGGTTTTACTATGCTACATGCTTGTATGTCACTCTACCCTAGTTAGTAAATATGGGTACGATAAAAAAATATACGGAAATTTTATGGATATGATACAATAAATGGTGAAAAATACGTTTGTAAAAATTTGGTCATAAAATTCAGATACGGAAAAAATACTGTACGGGTATAGACGGGTTTAATACGGCACGTTGTCAATAATACGTTTTGAAAAATATGGCAATATCAATCCTAGTTTCAGCACTTTTCATCGGCCATTTAGTTAAAATCTATATAGCATTTCAAATATACGGGTACAACAAAAAAATGGTACAAGAATTTTATGGGTATGATACGGTAAATAGTAAAAAATACATTTGTAAAAATTCGACAAAAATTTGGATACGGGAATAATTCGCGAATAATATGGCTGAGGCATATAATTCGCGAATAATACGGCTAGGCTGATAAAATACGGCAGTTCGCGAATTTACTAACTAGGCACTCCACATAAAATATTTTATAGTCATAGTTCAGCCATCACTCAGGAGTAGTTTAACATGATAGAAATAGAATTATTATAAAATATAAAATGCTTGCCAATTCAATCCATATATATGATGTACTTTTGATATATTTATCTCAAAATTTAAGATTCATATTGCGTTGAATTGAGATTCCACCTTCCCAAGTTATTTTCTAAGTTCATTACATAGTCTTTTCCTTGTATACATGATATATTATAATCAAATACAATGAGAATTCATTGGAGACAAACTTCTTAATCACATTTCATTAGTTATAACAAGATTTGACTGATTTGCACTGTTGAATCTAATCGAGGTTTTCGATGAATCTGGGTTGAAAACTCTTGCTTAAAGGCATCAAACCTTCAAGGATTTATATGGAGGAAGCAGATCAACAGCAAAGAGGGCTTGGGCAATGACTGAAAAAATAAAGAGCCAGTACTGATGATCTAGTTTATGAAAAAGTATGGTTGACTTAGACAAAAGTCACAAAACTACTTTCAATAAAAAAAAAAAAAAAAGAATCTTAATCTAATACTCTAAGACATTCCTCTTAAGAATGTTCAAGTTATCCAGGTTAATTGAAACTAATAGGAAACATTGATGGCTCAAATTGAAGATCATCATAGTCAACGTTAATTTACATGTCTGTATAATAGCCAGAGCTCCTCCAAATTACAGTATTTGGCATTCAATCAAAATCCTTGCTTTACAAAAGACATAAACGTAAGAGTATTCACAATACTTTCAATTAAAAGGAATCTTAAATCAACACTAAGATTTTCCTCTCAAGAGTGTTCAATTTATTAAAGGTTAATTGAAAGTAATAGAAAAGACTGATGATTTCGATTGGGGTTCAGAGTCAGCTAGCCGCAGGATGTCTTCAATCTGTTTGACCACCTCGCTCATTGTAGGCCAATTGGCCCCCAAATCTTCAACACACCTCATTGCCAGATTAACAAAATTCTCCAAACCACTTAAAGTGTCCTGGTTCATGACACGATCAATACACAAATGGAGGTTATATAAATCTTTTGTCCTATCCATTGCCTTCTTCAACTCACTCACAATGTACCTCCCTCGTTCAATTGAACTTCGCCCAGTTATTAACTCTAGCATTACCACTCCAAAGCTATAAACATCACTCTTTTTTGTTAACTGTTACGTCCTGAAATATTCGGGATCCAAGTATCCCTGCACCATTGAAAAAAAAAAAAAGGTTCCATTCCCAGGCTAACTTATACAGTGCTACAGTATAATCATCAATGAACTCAATTCCATTAGCCAACATGCTTATTACCTTCCTGTAATTTATTACTTCTTTACCTTTATGTTCATTACCAAAATGGGAAATTAAAGTTCATTTTTTCTGGTGTAAGATTTTGGAGGATGCTATACTTGCTCGGGTTCCTTTGACCTCAGTGGTAACACGACTGTTTTCTATCCCATCCAAAGTCTTAGATATACCAAAATCAGCAACTTTTGCTGTAAGGTGATAATCGAGTAGAATGTTATTTGATTTGATGTCCCTGTGTATGATTGATGGATTTGTATGATCATGCAAATATTCCAAACCTCTTGCTGAATCAATGGCTATTCTCAGTCTCTGCGTCCAACTTAACTGGATTCCTGATTTTCCTGCATTGGTAAATTAGATATAGACAACATGATTAAAGTTGATTCATGTAACAAAACTGTTGCCTGAAGTTCAGCTTGGCATGTGAGTTTGTATATAAAAGAATTTGAATACCATGTTTGTGCTTTCAATCTTTTCTAGGTTAGAAATTAGTTCATCCAATAGTTAGAGTTGATCAAAAATGGAGTGTATTATAAAGTACGTAACAAAAGAAGTGGCGAATGAGGTACCTGAGAGACTATCCTTTAGAGTACCATTCTGAATGAATTCATAAACCAGCATCTGTTCACTTTGCTCGTAGCAGTAACCCACAAGACTAACAATATTTTTATGATGAGCCCTTGATAGCATCTCAATCTCGCTTTTAAACTCCTTTCGACCCTGCAATGATCCCTGCTTAGCTCTTTTAATTGCAACTTCTAACCCTGTTTCAAGCTTTCCTTTGTAAACCTGTAAACATAGTCAAAATCTATTTTCAGCCAGAGCAAATCATTATAAATTAAAAAATTCTCCAGGAACAAGTTCAAAATGTTTTTGCTTGCAAAACAAGCAACACATGCTAAGTGAAAGAGATTCATGCTGTCATATCAGAATCTTTATCACGTAATATTGTCTTAAGCAAAGATTCTAGTAATACAAACACTTAGTCTTAGAAGGGTACCTACGAGAAAGAAGAAAGCGAACGAACCTGTCCGTATCCCCCGGTTCCTAAAATGTTGGTGTCTGAAAAATTTTTAGTGCATTTCTTAAGCTCTTTAAAGGAAAAACGTCTTGGAGCATTGATTATAGGAGGACTAGTAGTGGTGTCATTTGGGTTCCAAGATGCTGCATGAATATGATACTAACTATAAGCAATGGAACAGTAATTATGTAGAGTTCAGTGGAGAAATGATGGTTTTTCGATTACCAAATGGATCGTTTAGTTTAGTTGCTCTTCTTGCTTTCTTCCTCTGACGGATAGCATACATTCCGGAAAGTAATAGTACTACAAGTATAAATCCACCAACTGTTGCTCCAATCATGACCCAAATTTGTGACTTTTTCTCTGGATAAAAGTAGGAAACAAAATGAGAAACCATTAATTTCTCATATAAATTATGTGAAATTTAGTATGAAATCTTAAGCTAATGGGAAAATTTGTTCTTACCTTGGAAATAATTACTGTGATTGATGTAATAGGAGGGTCCATAATTTGGTGAGAGATTGACAAAATTTATGTTGTTTAGCTGAGAACTGATCATGGCAAAAGTCGTTCTGTTGAAACGGTTGCTACCAGATGGAAAGACCTTCACGTCCAACTCTAGGTAATCATTCCCAGTCACGAACCGGAAGGTCATTGAGTCTACAGGGAGATTTGATGCTTTGAAAGAATCCATGAACTTATCTCTAAGAAAATTGTAGTAACTTATGTTGTCCCAGTTTGAGAAGCTAAAATATCTGAAGATTAAGATTCCAATGATTGGGGAATTTGAACAGTTAGGCACACAATTATTTGGTGGTGTGGAAGGTGAAGAACTTGGAACTTGGGGAGCTAAGCAGCTCTTTTCTACTGATTGCTCACAAATTGGATTATTCTGGAGACTGAAAAAAAATAGATAAGAAAAAGTTACACCTTTGAGGTAACATGAAGTTGAAAAACAAGCAAGGGAAGAACAATGTTGAAGATTGTAACTTACTTTAAACTCTTATTATATCCTGTTACTACAAAATATTCTATGGAATTGTTCTGCACATCAATGAGATGCAGTTGGCTTCCATAGCTTGTGCCAATATCTAAGGTTTCATCAAGTTGATTGTTCTTTAGTATCCTGCGACAATTGGTCAAAATAGATCAGCATGCCATCCAGTTAGGCTAATGTTTCATGTTCGTTTTGGATGGATTTCAATGTGGTGCTGTTTGAGAATAAGCTGATACTTACACTGACTCCAACCAAGGAAGACTGAAGAGTTCAACGGGTATTGGTCCTCGAAGATTTGTGTTCTCCATTACTCTACCAGTGCAATGTAATAAGCATTATAGTCAGGGTTAGCAATTCAAGCCCCAAGAGTGAATGGCATTTATAGTTAGAGGCATTGAAACGATAGACGGCTAGAAAAGTTTATGATACTATTTAATGCAAGACTTGTTTAAGTTATAATGAAGAACAAGACAGATTCAATGATTTTAACATGTGGGCTCAACCAAGTAGTGGATATTATCTGTCTTGGGTTTAGAATGTCTTATTTGTTTTTAGGCTTCACCCAAAATGTGTTTATTTAGTTATGGGGACCAAACCTTATAAACTGAATCTTAGACTGCTTTCGCTAGCAATGTTGGATATGACAATGATTTTTAAGCATTCCAAGCTTGAATGCTGAATCCCAAATTCCTTTCACTAGTGATGTTGGATGCGACAATGATTATCAAGCATTCCAAGCTTGAATGTTATGAATGTTTGCTTTATGTGTGTGTCTGTGGGTGAGTGAGTGAATGAGTGAGAGGAAAAAGAGAGAGATGTACAAAGTTGTCGAAGATTGCAAGCTTGAAAACCCTGGTGGAATAGTTGACCCTTCAAAGCTATTATTGCTCATGTCCCTGTGAATCAAATGTTTGTTAGAGGATGCAAATGGACTTTAGTAGAAATAGAATACATTTATCCAAATTACATGAATAAGAGAAGCAAAATACTGAATTGATGGAAATAATGAATGGCCTTTCAGCACCACATTATGGATAATGCAAACAGATTTATGAACTTTTGTTAACTTACACATAGTTGAGTTTGCTCAAGCCAGTAAGTTTAGGCAAAGGGCCAGTCAATTGATTGTTGGACAAATATCTGAAAGAAAGCTGCAAAATATTCTTAAGAAGAAACCAATAACGACTTGTAGTGTATTACATTGATATCTCATAAGTAAGACTAGAAGCTTAAGTTGTGAACTTCTCTGCATAATCCACTTGCATTGTAGTGATGTTTGGGAAGCTAGTGAAGTTGAAACTGACAGTCCCGTTGAATGAATTCTTGTCCATGCGTCTGGTTCCAAGAGAAACTTAATAAAAGAAATTCAAATGTTTATGACCAGAGAAATTGAAATTTATGAGCGAATGTTTAGAATACTCACATGACCTGCAAGTTTTGCAGATGTTCTAGTGAAGTGGGGATGCTACCAGTGAAGTTGTTGTTGTCAAAAAGCCTGCTTAAAACAATAGTAATTCTCATCTCATCTAACAATGACAGTTTTTTTTCTGAGTGCATTCTTTAACTTATTCTACACTCATTGCCGGTTATTAAAGCTCATGTCAGTTGTGGTCTAAGTCTCCATCATGTTCATTCCTATTTCTCTTTATCATGACAATCTTGCCTGTTTCTTAGACTTCTATCATATCTGAAAAGGGGGCATATGTTTTAGGGATATAGCAAAAGAAAAAAGCCAATGCTTTGAACATATTGACATTTTGAGGGGTCCTACTGGATGTAAGTTCGTTTGAAGTACAGAGGTAAACACAAAACTTGATTGTAGGATACACTTACAGCTACTGCATCTACTTATCATGTAGCCACTAGCCAGTCCAAAAGAACTTACACATGTATCAATTTCATTTCTGAGCTGAAAAGTGAAAGTGAGACTGGTCCTGTGAGCTGATTTCTTCCAAAATGACTGCAAATTTAACAGAAAAGTGTTGATTAGTTGTTTTCAGAAAACTGTACTTGCAAATGAAGGAAAAGGTGTTATACATACAAGTGCAATGCATTAACTAGTCCATCCAATCCAGGTGAAGTTTCATTAGAGACTGGAATTGTTCCATTGAGCTGGTTATCAGTCAAATCCAGCAAAACAAGGTTGGTAAGATTGCCAATGGAAGCTGGTATAGGTCCACTGAAGCTATTAGAATTCAGATATCTGCAGAAAATGTAATTGAAGAGTTTCACAAACAGGACAAGCAATGATCTAAATGTTAGAAATCCTTGCGAGGTAACCTTCCAATAATAAGAGACCAAAAGAACCTGATGAAAATACAGAAAAGAATACTGAAGTTGAAATCCTTACAAATTGACAAGCTGTGTTAGAGATCCTAATGTGTCTGGAATTAGGCCATGGAAGCTGCATCCGGTTAGCAATCTGGCAGGCAAGGGAGATCAATGGTTAATCATATGTGTTAACAAAAAGTGACACATATAGTATATATAAGGTAGCGAAGCTCTTGCCAAATTAATCTTACAGGTTCACAAGCTTTGTCAAATTCCCAATTGACGGCGGAAGAGTTCCTGACAAACCATTGTTTTGAGATAGATCTCTGTGGTGCAGATGTATTAATCAAAACAATATCATTTGTTATTACATCTTTTCTTCCCAAATATATGTTCCTATCTATACTGATGAAGGTTAAACACATCTAGCAATTTTAAGCTGTCAAAATATACTGCCAGATCTATTGATTAAAACTTGTATGTCAATATAACTTTGTTATTATTTCTTTGTATCAGGAAAGAGACAAAAGGATGGAGAGAGAACTTACAAAGTCCTTAATTCAGGTAGATTCTGAGTATCAGCAGGCAGTTTCCCTCTCAAGCCTATGCCTGATAGTACACTGAAATTGGAAAATCATCAGGTCACCCTCAAGCATTCAAAACAGAAGGTTAGCAGCCACACAACACAAGCCCACATCAAAAGTTCAAGTGAAAAAATGGCTTACATAGAGGTCACACTTGAATTGTCACACCTAATTCCTTCCCAGGAACTGCCACAAGGATCATCACCAACCCAGTCGGGTGGTGTGTTCCGCCAGTGATGCTTGAGAGACTTTAGAGCAGCAACTGCATGCAGTAGGTTTTACAAAATAGCAATCTTGGATTAAAGAGCAACAATAAATTTATTAATCAGGAAAACAACAGATGCAAGCTAAGCTATATGCCAGCACATGAGGGGCAGTTGAAAGTGTATGCTCATTGCTCAATTGGTGTGGCAGAGAGACAAAAATGACAAGGGCTGCTATATTCAGTTCATGGCTTAATCTGATACAAATTTATCAGCTCTTCCTTAGGTTGTATTATAAATTTTCGATACCTGACTCCTATATAAGTTGATTTATGTTAGACTCAATAGATGAATACAAGATTCCAAAACACATGCATCATAGGAAGTCCATGGAACATGTTTTCATGAGAAACCATATTTCCTATGGTGTATGTAACCAAATTATCGGACTAGTGAGATGCACTGTACATAAATGTATGAGCAACTTACATTCCTGAGGATTTGTTACTGCCCTCATAACCAGAATCTGAATGTATAGAGTTAGCAGGAAAACACTGAGTCCTGAAGCCATTACTTGATGAAATGATTGACTAAATTGGCACAAACCAAGAAATCATTGAAGTGTGCTTATAGCTACATAATAACTCTTTTTTTTATTTGTGTTACGTATGAGTGAATATTCAAACTCTGAATTCTTTCCTAGGTCTTTTCTTAATGAAATTAAGCATTCTATGGATTTCATTTTCAGTGATTTGGTCAAATTTCTTCTCTTGTGGGTTCTCAGAAATTGAATTGGTAAATTATTGTATTTTATAAAATTACTCATGTAATTGTATGTCACTTCACGTAAAACATTTCGTAGTCATAGTTCAGGCATCACTCAGAGTAGTTTAACATGATAGAAATATAATTATTATAAATGCTTGCCAAACCAATCCATATGTATGATGTACATTTGATTATTGATCTAGAAAGTTAAAATTTAGATTGCGTTGACTTGAGGTTCCACCTTCCTAAGTTCTTTACTTTCTCAGTTATTATTTGTCCTATATAGTGATGGCTCAATTCATTACTTAGTCTTTCCCTTGTATAGTTGATATATTATAATCAAATACAACGAGAGTTCATTGCAGACAAACTTCTTAATCACATTCTAACAGCTATAACAAGATTTAACTGATTTGTTCTATTGATTTTAATCGAGTTTTTGATGAATCTGGGTTGAACATTCTGCTTGAAGGCATCAAACCTTCAAGTATTTATAGGAGGAAGCAGTTCAACAGGAAAGAGGGCTTGGGCAATGACTAAAAAAATAAAGAGCCAGTACAGATGATCTATTTTATGAAAAAGTACGGTTGACTTAGTCAAAACTACTTTCAATAAAATAGAATCTTAATCTAATACTAATAGATTTCTCTCAAGAATGTTCAAATTATCTAGGTTAATTGAAACTAATAGAAAACACTGATGGTTCCGACTGGAGATCATCAGAGTCAGCTAGCTGCAGGATGTTTTCAATCTCTTTGACTACCTCACTCATTGTAGGCCTGTTGGCTCCCAAATCTTCAACACACATCATAGCCAGATCAACAAAATTCTCCAAACCACTTAATGTTGTGTTCCCACTGATGGCAGGATCAAGCATCTCATGAAGGTTATATAGATTTTTTGTCCTATCCATTGCCATCTTCAACTCACTCACAATGTAACTCCCTCTTTGAATCGGACTTCGCCCAGTTATTAATTCTGCCATTACCACTCCAAAGCTATAAACATCACTCTTTTTCGTTAACTGTCGCGTCCTGAAATATTCGGGATCCAAGTAGCCCTGCACCATTAAAAAAGAAATTCCATTCTCAGGCAAACTTCTAAACTGCTATAGTATAATGTTCTCTGAACTCAAATTCAATAGCCAACAAGCTTACTACCTGTTATGATTCATTACTTCATTAACATAGACATAGGAAATTAAACTTCATTTTTGCTACCTGCTAGTGTAAGTTTTAGAGGATGCTGCTATACTTACTGGGGTTCCTTTGACATCAGTAAGAATTTCATTGTTTTCACTGCCACCCAAAGTCTTCGATAGACCAAAATCAGCAACTTTTGCATTGAAGCTATCATCGAGTAGGATATTATTTGATTTGATGTCCCTGTGTATGATTGTTGGATTTGCAAGTTCATGCAAATATGCCAAACCTCTTGCTGAATCAAGGGCTATTCTCAGTCTCCCTATCCAACTTAACTGGATTCCTAATTTTCCTACATTGTCAAATTAGATGAAGACAGCGTATTATAAATTTGTATGTTTATGCTCTTGGCTTATGTTGTTAACCCTTTTTGACTTAGAATTGAGTTTGGCTAGTGATGATCAGAAATGGAGTATATGATAAAGTATGTGACAGAAGAAGTGTCGAATGAGGTACCTGAGAGACTATCCTTTAGAGTACCATTCTGAATGAATTCATAAACCAGCATCTGTTCTCCTTGCTCATAGCAGAAACCCACAAGACTAACAACATTTTTATGGTGAACCCTTGATAGCAGTTCAACCTCACTTTTAAACTCATTTCGACCCTGCAACGATCCCTGCATAGCTCTTTTAATTGCGACTATTAACCCCGTTTCAAGCCTTCCTTTGTAGACCTGTGAACATTTTGGAAATCCATTTCGCAGAGAACATACCATTAGAAATTGAAAAATTATCATGGCAAAAGATGAAACTTCAAAGTTACTTTTGCTTGCAAGACAAGCATCACACGCTAAAGGAAAGTGACTAATGTTGTCATATTAGAAACTTTATCCCATATGTTTGTCTTAGTAAGGATCCTGTTAAAATTCATGCTCAATCTTTAAAGGGAACAATGGCAAAGAAACAAGCGAACGAACCTGTCCATAACCTCCAGACCCTAGAATCTTGGTGTTTGAAAAATTGTTGGTACATTTCTTTAGCTCTTCAAAGGGGAAACATCTCACACCATTGATCTGAGGACGGCTAGTGGGGTCATTTACATCCCAAGATGCTGCATAAGTATGACATAGGAACTTTAAGTAATGTAATGGTAACTGTGTAGAATGCACTGGAGGAATAATGGTTTTCATTTACCAAATGGATCGTTTAGTCGAGTTGCTCTTACAGCTTTCTTCCTCTGATGGATAGCATACATTCCAGCAATAACTAATAATACTAGAAGTATAAATCCACCTACCGTTGCTCCAATGATAATCCCAACATTTGGTGAATTTTTCACTGCATAACATTTGGAAACGGATGAGACACCATCAATTTCCCCTATTAAGCTCTGCGAAATGTAGATGAATTCTTAAGATAATGGTGTAGGACACAGCAAAATTTGTTCTTACCTGGATTAGGATTAATGTTGTTGTAGTAGAAGGGTCCAAAAATTGGTCCGAGAGTGACAAAACTTATGTTGTTGAGCTGAGAGATGATAAGAGAGAAATTTGTTCTGTCGAGAAGACCGTTAACAGATGGACAGACTTCCACGTGCAGTTCTAGGTAATCATTCGCAGACACGACCTGGAAGGTCACTGACATTGAGTCTACAGGAAGATTAAATTTTTTAAAAGAGTTCATGAACTCGTCTCTGACAATACTGTAGTAACTAGCGTTTTTCCAGTTTGAGAAGGTAAAGGATCTGAAGTATAAGGTTCCAATGATTGGTGGAGATGAACTGGCCTCGCAACTGTTTGTTGGTGTGGAAGGTGAAGAACTTGGAACTTGCGGAGCTGAGCAGTTGTATTCCTCTGAGTTCTCACAAATCGGATTATTATAAAGACTGGAAAAAATAGATAAGAAAAAGTTACACGTTTGAGGTAACATATATTTGCAAAACAAGCAAGAGAAGAACGATGTTGAAGAGTTTAACTTACTATAATGTCTTATTGTATCCTGTTGCTTCCACAGAATCTATGGAATTGTTCTGCAAATCAATTAGTTGCAGCTCGCTTCCGTAGCTTGGACCAATATCTAAGGCTCCACTGAGCTGGTTGTTCTTTAGAACCCTGCAAACATAATCAAATTGATCAGATTATAACATCATTCCATCTGATTAGGCTAGCAGTTCATGTTTGTTTCAGATAAATTTCAATGTGGCGGTTTTTGAGAATAAGCTAATACTTACACCGACTCCAACCGAGGAAGACTGAAGAGTTCAACAGGTATTGATCCCTGAAGTTGTGTGTTCTCCATTATTCTGCCAGTGCAGGGTAATAACCATTATAGTCATACTCATGGTAAGTAATTCAAGCCCCAAGGGTGTGCTAAAATAAGTGACATTTGTAGTTTGAGCATTGAAATGAAGAAAAAGAGAGAGATACAATGGTTTTCAAGCATTCCAAGTCTGAATGCTGGATAAGTTGTTTACTGCAACCTTAATTGTTAATTGTGTCTGTGAGAGAGTAAGAGAGAGAGTGAGAGATGTACAAAGATGTCAAAGCTGGCAAGCTTGAAAACCATGGTGGAATAGTTGACACTTCAAAACTATTATTGCTCATGTCCCTGTAAATTAGATATTTGTTAAGAGGATACAACTTAACTGCAGTAGCAACAGAATAAATTTATCCAAATTAGATAAATAAGAGAAGAGCAAATTACTTAATGGTCTTTCAGAACCACATTATAAACAGATTTCTAAAGTTCTGTTAACTTACACATAGCGCAGGCTGCTCACGCCAGTAAGGTCAGGCATACGGCCAGTCAATTGATTGTTGGAAAAATGTCTGAAAATAAGTTACCAATAATTTTCTTAAGAAAACAGTAATTAACTAATAATTGAGAATAGAAGTTTAAGTTGCAAACTTCTCTGCATATTTCACTTACATTGTAGTGATATTTGGAAAGTTAGTGAAATTCAAATCGACTGTCCCAGTAAATGAATTGTTGTCCATGCGTCTGTTGCCAAGAAAAACTTAGTATAAGAAATTCAGAAATTAATGACCAGAAAATCTAAAACTTTTCAGCTAATGCTAATGATTAGGATACTCACATGACCTGCAAGCTTTGCGCTTGGTCTAATGAACTGGGGATGTTGCCAGTGAAGTTGTTGTTGTCGAAAAGCCTGCTCAAATCAATAAAATTATCTCTCAACAGACAGCTGCTAACATAATGAATGCAATTTGAGTTTTAAGCCTTTGATGCCTAATTCTTGTACACAAATGTGCTCATTGTGTATCGAAGCATACTAAATACGAACACAAGATCATAACCAGACATGTAAGTCTCATCTAATCATCAGGTAGTCCATCCAGAAGAACTTACACATGTATCAGTTTCATTCCTGAGCTGAAAAGTGAAAGCGGGACTGGTCCTGTAAGCTGATTTCTTCCAAAATGACTGCAAATTTAACATAAAAGTGTTGATTAGTTGTTTTCAGAAAACAGTACTTGCAAATGAAGAAAAATCCGTTATACATACAAATGCAATGCATTAACTAGTCCATCCAATCCAGGTGAAGTTTCATTAGAGACTGGAATGGTTCCATTGAGCTGGTTATCAGTCAAGTCCAGCAAAACAAGTTTGGTAAGATTGCCAATGGAAGCTGGTATAGGTCCATTGAAGCTATTAGAATTCAGATTTCTGCAGAGAATGTCATTGAAGAGTTTCACAGACAGGATGAGCTATGATCTGAATGTTAGAAATCCTTACATAGTGACCCTTTAAGAATAAAAGCCAAAAAGAACCAGAAAAGAGTACTGAAGGTGAAACGCTTACAAATTGACCAGCTGTGTTAGAGATCCTAATGTGTCTGGAATCAGGCCACTGAAGCTGCAACCTGTTAGTACTCTGCCATGCAATGAAAGGGATTCCAATAGGTAAATCATGAAAATATATATATATAAGGTATAGAGGCTCTAGCAAAACTTGATCTTACAGGCTCACAAGCTTTGTCAATTTCCCTATTGACGGTGTAAGAGTTCCTGTCAAACCTTTGTTTTGAGATAGGTCCCTGTGGCGCAGATGTAACAATCAAGACAATATCGTTATTTTGATGAAGATTGAACAGATCTAGCAAATTTGAGCAGTCAAAACATACTGCTAGATCTAACTGATAAAATTTGTATGTTGAAATGTAAATTGTTGGTCAGTCTTTGCATCAGGCAAGAGAAAAGGGTGTAGATAGAACTTACAATTTCCTTAATTCAGGTAGATTCTGAATGTCTTCTGGCAGGTTCCCTCTCAAATCTATGCCTGAAAGTACTCTGAAAATTTAAAAATCCTCAGGTCACTCTCAAGCATTGAAAAATGAAGAATAGCAGCCACACCACGCAAGCTCGCACCAGAAGTTCAAGGAAAATAAAAATTGAACTTACATGGAGATCACACTTGAATTGATACAGCTAATTCCTTCCCAAGAACTGTCACAAGGATCATCACCAACCCAGTTGGTTGGCTGGTTCTGCCACTGATTTTTGAGAGAATTTAGAGCAGCAACTGCATGCAGTAGATTGTACAATATACAACTCTTGGATTAAATACCAAAACTGAACTTCTCGATCAGAAAAAATAGATGCAAGCTGAGCTAAGTGCTAGCACATAAGGTGCTGTAGAAAGTATGTATGCTAGTTGCTCAAGAGGTGCAGAAGAGAGACAAAAATAACACAAGGGCTGCCATATTCAGTTCATGGCTCAATACTCAATCTGTTACAAATTTATTATTTCTTACTTAGCTTGCAGTATGAAGTTTTGATTCCGGATACGTGATACACCTATATAAATCGTGTTATTTTAGGTTCAATAGATGAAAACAAGTTTCAGAAACACATGCATCACAGGTCCATGGAATTGTAAACAAGTATTCTTGACAAACCATTTTTCGTATGGTTTATATGACCAAACTATAGTACTAATGAGATGCACTGCACATTAATATATAAGCAACTTACATTCCTGAGGATTTGTTTCTGCCCTTATAACCAGAATCTGAATGTATAGAGTTAGCAAGAAAACTTTGATTCTAAGAGCCATTACTTGAACTAATTTGGCACAAACCCAGAAATCCTAAAAGTATGCTTACAGCTGCATATATAACTTATTTTTTAATGAATATTCAACTTCTTAGTGTTTGACAAGAAAATAAGAACATTTCTTAACTAGAAAATTTCCTAATGAAAAACTCTTAACTCAGGCAACTATATTTGATTAGTTCAAGAATCTCTGAATCAAGTTTTAGGAGTAAGAGCCTTGCATATTCTTTTCTAGATTTCATTTTCAGTGATCTGGTCAAGTTTCTTCTTATTTAATTGTTAGTAAATTCTTGTCTTCTATTAAATTAATCATGTTTATTTAATTGAGCTCAAAATTTAATATCATGTTAAGAGTTGAATTGAGACACGTCATTTTTAATGTTTCAACACCAACTAGGCAACTACTGGCTTCCCATGTCCTTTTCTCAATTAGTATTTGTGGCACATATTGATGTCTTAGCTCATATGCATAGTCTTTCCCATTTATAATTGATAATACGCAATTATGTTGATTGAAAACCTTGATATTGTTCATTGTATTATATAATTAAATACAATGAGAATTCATTGCAGTCACACTTATTCATTGTCACGTCTTAGGTCACTAGCGAATGACTCTAGAATTCGGTTTATAAGGTTTGAAACCTCTTAACTCATTAGACATGTTTTGGGTGAAAGAAGCTCGAATGAAACCCAAAAGCAAATCCAAGTCCATAAGGTGAGGAGTTTGCCACATCTGAATCAGCTGAGATTTCAATTGGTCCTCTTAACTAAGTAGACATGTTTTAGATGAATGTCGCTTGTCGTTTCCTCAATCCCTAGAGGCATCAAACCTTCAAGGAATTATCTATGGAGGGAATAGGTAGTTCAACAACAAAGACAATGACAAAGGAAATTAAGCAGCTGCACTGAAGATCAATTTTATAAATAAGTTCAGTTGACTTGGTTATTTTAAATGCCTACAGAAGCATCCCAAGTGTACACCTTATTCAATATCCATTAGTTTATTTGAATGGATAATACGGGTGTGATTTGTTTGTTTGAGTATTTTATTTTATGAACTCCGGTCTTTTTTTTTTATATAGATTCAAAAGAATAGTTTAATATGGGGTCACGAGTCATCCCATACTTGATAAGGAGCAGCATCAGCATGACAGCATCATTATAAAATGCCCCATTTCCATGAAATGTTCAAGCTGCAAGGCCTCTACTTATAATATGTAATCTAGAAGTCTTTTTGGCAAATTTAAACAGTGATTTTCTATGGATATTAAGGCAATTTTGACAAGAAAATATAGTTACTTGCATGCTATATAACTGACAAACCATCACAGAGGTATGATTACAAGGGAATACAGATGATGAAGGTAGCTTAAGAAAATTCAAATTATTTCTTCATACAATCCTTTATTATTATTCACCACAGCTATACATGATGAACAACCCAGTCATTTGCAAATTCTTTGAAACCTTCAACTAAAGCTCCAATGTTTTGCACTTATGCTGAGTACTCGAGTCAACGATGTTGATCTGAACAGGAGTAAGCAAAAAGAAATGTCAACAGATTGGCATCAATAATCTTAATAACTAAATATAAAAACTATTTTAGAGAAAACACAACATAAAACCACATTCACTGAGTTGTGTTTTAAAACTTAAAATATCGGTTTATAACACTTTTGATCACAATTCATATGCAACCACCCAGGAATCTGCATTTCCTGGAAGGTGAATTGCACAGATATTTTGTCCAAGTCTAGATAAATAACTAAGTGCTGGAAACCCAACATAAATGGAAATAAAGAAAATAACTACAAAAACATAGGTGAAAACTTTGAATTGATGCAGAATGTTGATCATAATTTGTATGTCGTCATTGCATACCTCCTCAGTTTATTGATCTAACCAGTTCATGAGGAAGGGGTGTCGGGCTGATTAGGTGGCATAGCCTTCTGGAATGCTGGTAGCTCACAGTAGGCTTCATGCAACCTTGCTAAAATAGGGAACTCGCTCTGCATAAACCATTGAGGAAAGGTATTTATTGGCGGAAACATATAAAGAAATGCTAAGGTAGAATGTAAGAGCTAAAGAGGAACAAGATAAGAGACAGTGGAGATATTCGCATTTATCTGCACTTGATAGAATTATGAACAAGGAACTATAGAACTATAACACCAATGAATTTTATGAAAGACATGCAGCAAATACGTAAGTTTGAAATATGCATTTTGTTTTTCCACTTACTTCATGGTTTTCAAGGAATATAGTAAAGCTAATACATATATAGGGAAAGCATTACCTTGTCAAGATTGAACCTTGTAAATCCTGTATCAATCTGCGGTGCTAGAAAACAATCTGCCTGCAATTTGCAAAATATACTATGAATTTTCACGGCATATAAACTCACTTTCCACATTCGATGGTTCATTAGATGTGGATTTTTAGCATCCCATGCAAATGCAGCTCAAAAGTACGAAGTACATGGCTGACATTAGTACAACTGTGATCAACAATTTTCTGTCTAAACCAAGTTTCGCAAATGGAATTTGTAGACCTCCAATTTTATAAGTTAATGGCATCAGAGCACAACCACATCCAGACTATGATCCGAAAAAACTCCCCACTTTCTCACCTTTTCTGTGACAATTATTTCCAAATAACATTTTTATGATAGAGGTACCTCAATGTATGGCAGTAAACCAAGGATATGAAAGATACATGAAAATTGTTATCAGGCAAGGCCTTCGCTGTGTTAGCTAACATGTTGTATTGATTTTCCAAATTTTGAGGGTTTTTTGGTGTGAATTCTGTATTTATACCTTCTATGTTCTATCCAGACTGATAGTGTGGTAACCTGAACACATCCCACTAAAATCCCCCTCACCTAATTAAATCTTAACCTTCCAGACCCAGTTTTAATAAAAGTCCATGTATTGCCGTAAATGAGTACAGTGGAATACACACAGATGAAGAAAGTAAAAACAAACCAGGTACACTTCATCCCCAGTTGCATATTTTCCAGAATAGTCTTTTAACAGCATCTCAAGCGCTGAAACGCAAGCAAGTTATGGTCAAGTCAAAAAGAAAAGCAATACAAAAAGCAAAAACAATCAAATATCTCAACAACATAGTTCATATTTCTGAACTAACTAGGAAAAACCAAACTTCAATGCATATCCTCCACCGAATCAGTATCCAAAAGGGTTATGTATGTATGCATGTATGTATGTATGAACTCTATGTATTTAAAATGAATTTCAAATATGAGTGTATAACTATGTATTCACATGCAAAAATAAACATATGCCTAGATGCATGTATGCATGCACATTTATATGAACATGCATGAGATGTGTGAATGTGTGTGTGAGAGAGAAAGTGCGTGTGTATGTTGTGCATGTAAATATCATTTTGCTCTTGTGGTGAGACGAGATCTTTTCAAACTTCAAGTACAATCATAGAGGTATGAGTCATCAACTCAAATGTTCTCACATATACAAGGCTGAAGGTAATGCAATAATACCCATTAGATTTTGCATTAACAACTCAGAGACTTGCTCAATGGATGTACTAACATGGATCTGTTTCTAGATAGGGAGATCATATTTGTTACCTTTTTTTATCACATGTAAAACCTCTCACACTCATGTCTTTCACATAGCGCAACAGTTGAAATGATTTTTGAGTGTTTAAACATTTTCCATATCCTTGTCATAAGAAGTAACTTCGGCAAAAAGAATAGTTCTACAAGAGAGAAGTATGATTCCAACCAGCAGTTACTATCAAGTTTATTGATTAGTATTAATGATATTAATATTCATTAACCGCCAATTCTGACATAGTTAAATCAATGATGTTATCCATCAGCTATATCTTTCAGGCTTCTTCGAATATCATATCTGTAAATAACCAAAAGCCTAAGTTGAAGGGTTTGGAAAAGAAATATGAACTATAGCCTCTGATGCATTAGATCAAATCAGAGTTTCTAATAAGTAACTTTACTCTTCAGTTTTATAGACTCCTCCCCTAATAACACCTTTACTCATCAAGAGGAGAAAATGAAGGAAGCAAGAAAATGAAACTATGACCAGTTAGATATGTGCTTATTAGATATCTGTTTTATGGCCAAAACCAAATTGAGAGCACAAATACTATGTTTGGATTTATCATGATGATATTCAGCTATCAATTACTGGTACATTGTCTACCTTTCTCCTCCTTCCTTTGGTTTTGAAGAGAAGGAGGTGTGCACATTTGTGTACGTGGTAGGGTGATTTTGTAATGCTTACCTGCAAAGCCTTTTCCAAGGAAATGTTTAACCCAAGGAAGTTTCTCATCAGGGCCAAATTTCTCATCAATGTAATTCTGCAAATGTAGAAGCCACAAACAAAATAAAATGTTTAGTCTACATATTCAAATACATTAGAAAATATCTCAAGAATGAAAAGGATTTCAGGTTCAGACCAATACAACCAAATTCTGCAGAGGCTGTATGCTTGAGGACACAATATTTGCAGCCTACAAATCAGGTGACAAAAAGAAAATCCATTGGTGTCCAAAATCTTAAACATATATTTTAGTACATTGGACAGCAGAATAGTTATTGAAGTCCACAACAAGAACATAAAGGTGAGGAAAGATCAACAAGCTAATAAAAAATAAAAATAAACTAAAATAAACGCTGAAGATATGAGCATCCTAAAAGTCGGGGGCGGATCCAGCCTTGTCATGGCCCACAAAATACTAATATGTATAATTTCTAGATTTTGGCCCACCCTAACAAAAATATTAATGGACAAAAATATTAATGTATAATTAATTTTTATTTTAGCCCACCCTAACAAAAAATTCTGGATCCGCTACTGCTAAAAGTGACTACGTTTACGTCAAGGATTGTGAAATATGAAAAATGTTAGGCATTGTGATAAAAGGTTATCCCTACTGGTAAAATTGATATTAGAAACTGTTCCATGCATGTATATGCATGACACTCGTTAGTGTCTTTGTAAACCTCCATATATACAGTAATATGTGCTGCTGAATCAATAACTAGCAATAATTAATATATTTGAGGCAAAATTAGCTTTGAGTCCCATCAATTCAAACAAATCTCACAAGCAAGAACCATTAGAGTAATACACAGGCTTGTTATACATTCATATGAATCACATAAAATACCACATTCCCAATTCTACGCAATAACTGAAAATTCACTTGCTTCAATGATAATCAAATTGCTATGAAAGAATCACACGACAAATCAAATTACATACAAAACCGTATCCAGCCCACCCCAAAACACGGAACAACCTCTAAGTGACAAAAAATGAAATTGAATAGTGTACTGCAAATTTAAAAATCATGACAGACAAATTCTAAAAAGCAGAAGCGGGATTCTTGATTAACGAAAAACCAGTTTCTTTACATTGGTTACCGAATTACAGAAATATGTCATTGAAACAATAATAACGATAATTAAAGGGAAAGAAAATAGAAATTAACCTCAAAATTGATAGCTTTTGTCTTAAGATCAGAAGGCAACAATGGATGCTGAGGATACTTCTCTTCCAGATACTGCAAGCAACGCCAATTTATACTAAAAATCCCTCCATATGAAACAAAAGAGACACAAAGATAATATAAAAGTAAAGAGTATCAAATAACTGACCATCAAAATAGCAAAAGAATCAGAAAGAATAAAATCCCCATCTACCAAAGCCGGCACATAACCAAGAGGATTGAGCTTTCTAAACTCTACAAAAAATCAATTATCAAACAAATCAAAGTCAAACCCACATAATTTTAGCCATCTGGTATTGTAATTATCCTCAAAAACAAAAAACAAAAACTCACCAGGACTGTTTTGCTCTCCCTTCAGCAAGTTCACAGCTTTATATTCATAATCTATCCCTGTAATCAAATACTCAAATACCCAGAACCAAATTTCAAATATTTTTCAATTGAAGAGTAGAAAGACAATGAATTGATTAAAAAAATTGAACCTTTCAAATTGAGGGCAATTCGGACACGCCAAGAACATGAACTCCTCCAGTAAGAATAGAGTTGAAGCTTATTGTTACCACCGTCATTTCCACTTGCCTAACAACAATTAAAATTAATTACCACATACCATCAAAACAAGAACATAAAAATCTGAAAGCAAGATGAAGAGGCTGTTGTACCATGTTTGAGTCTCTGACAAAGCCAGACAAGAAAAGACCAAGAAATTATAGTGAAGTTTAAATGACAAAACAGAAATGCTCAACTCGAACACGACTCTTTGATGTGTACTACGTGATTAGAATAACTCTTTTATGTACACTCATTACGCATGCTATTACGTTTTTTTGTGAACGGAATTTAAAGTCCTAGACATATTCTAGATTGTCTCTGGAATTTAGGTGAATTTGGTTATTGGGAAGTCTAAAATAATATGATAAAAATAGTCGAACGTATATAATAAAAGATAATTGAAGAAAACAAGATGTGGAAAATCTTTTTGTTTAATAAATGAAGATATAATTGACTAAAATGTTTCCTTGAAAACGATGTACAGTATTATGCGCTGGATAATGATTAAATGTATAGCGTGTATATTAGGTAATTAGAATATCCTTTTGTTTATGAGTAAAAGACGTTTTCCATCCCACCCACGGTTTGGCGAAAATGGTAAGTTTTCACCTCTGTTTCATAAATTTCAAATTCTCGGTTCCTCACCCATAAATCAACATTTTTTTGTGATTTTTGGCCGCCAAATTGGTAAATTACTGTTTTATCTCCCAAATTAATAGAGGGAGCATTTTAGCAAGAGACGGCGCAAGTTAGTAAACGTCGCCATTTGCCTTTCTATCGTTTTCTGACAACGGTGGCTTTCCCCACTACCACCATCCTCTTTCCCATGCCACACAGACCAAAAACCCTCTTACCCCACCCCCGCCAACCACACCAATCGTCAGATTTCGACCGATTTGTGCCTCGCAAAACCANATGGTTTCTTGTATGATTTTGTGAGTTTGGTTGAAATTAGAGTTTTTTTTGGAGTTGATTGGGTGAATTAGTAGTATCTTTGGAGTAATTGATTAGTTAGGAGTGTTTCTATGCTGATTGGATGTCTTTTCCAGCCGAGTTCCCTATTGCAGGCAACTCACCATTTTCGTTCCCATACATGCACACAAAATGTTTGTGAAATTGCCCCAGCCAGCCCCCCACCAACCTTAATATAAGGAGAATGACCAGTTTACTCTTTGATCATTATATTAAACAATTTTCTATTGATTTAAGAGTGGGAATTTGAAATTTTTGAAACCAGGGTAGAAACTTGCTTTGGGTGGGAAATGTCGTTTGTCTAATCCATGAAGATATGCTAGCAATTAAATAAATATGTAGATAGATTATCCTACATAGTTTTTCAAAGTTTTCAAAATGAGATTATGTAATGGTCAATTTTTGAGAACTTTTATCAAACTCTATTTTAGTAAAATAATTATAAATAATGATTTTAACTTTATGAAAATCAATCCACAAGAGTTCCTAATTAAACACTTATAAAACTTTCTTTAAAATGAGGAAAACAAAAAAAAAAGCACATATGCATCCAAACAATGAGATAATAGTTGTAAATGGTGGACTTCCACCAATTTGACACATGGCTCATACAAGTCTAACTTGAAAACACATAGTTCATGATTTGTTATCTGATAATTGGCCTTTATGAAAAATGAGAAAAGGCTATAAATTGAGCTCATTTCGTTCATTTTATTTATAACTTAACAGAGATAAAGAGTTAATAAAAGTTTCTCTTTTCGTTTTAGTCCCTCTTAGTTTATTTTATTGCAATTACACCACTAAAATTATAACAATAATATCGTACTATTTTCTGACCCCTTAAAAAAAAACAATTTCATATATATGTAAAAAGGGAATTTCATGATTTCTGACCCCTTTACGTAAATACAATTTCATGTATACATCCTTTAATTTTGTGTAAAATAGATTGTAAATAAGGGCCAATCTGAATTTAGAAGTTAAATTTATCAAAGTTATATATGTTGTTACCGAAAAGGAAAGAAAGAAGTATTTTCATAATTGACTAATAATTATTTAAGCTTTATGATTTCATCAATTATTTGGGATTATCTAACAAATACTCCATAAAACACTTTTATAAAACTCTGATTAATCACTTTATACTTTCTCAAGTACATACAACTGACTTAAATTCCTTAGTAAAGTTATGGTTATAAGTTGCTGAATGAGGAGGTAAAGTTGGTTGGTGAAATTTTTTCTTAGGCTTTAGATTCGGTGAAGTTTTGTTAGATTTTTATAAATTTGGGTATTTAGGGTTTTGGATGTGTTGAATATTGTTGTTAATGATGTCGAGTAAATGAATAAAAGTGGTCATAGTCCGACTATTTTGGTCGTGAATGGCCTGGTTTGTGTTGAATTCGTATCTTTATTTATGAATACCAACAAGAGTGTTATCGGTTGTTTTC